CAATGATTGCTTTTATAAACGATGTGATTTCGCAAAGAGTTAACAGTCCAGAGATTTTGGAAAATATCAATTTTTATGCTCCCACTCGCTCACTGCGGAATAGAAATTTATTTAGCATCAACAATCAAAGAACAGACTATGCCAAAAACAGCCCATTGAATAGAATGATGTCTTGCTATAATACATACTGTGAATATATTGACATAACAATGAATAAAAGTACGCTTAAAAAAACTTTCTTCACGAGGTTAGCTAGGCATCAATAATAAAATATAAATGCTATGCAAGTAATTGAAGTAAAATTGTAACAATTAGCGTTTAAGTAAAACTGTAAAACGGTCTACACTGATTGACGACTAATAAATAAATAAATAAATAAATTAAAAATGGATGTCACACTAGCGAATGAACTGAAATCTTTACTTCTGGATAGATCTTGTCCATCTGAACAACTTTGCTCAAGACGGGAACCATCTATATAAGCAGGATCTGTAGATAGCGTTACATTTTGTGTATTCGGGTGAGTAAATTTTGTCACAAACTACCCATAGTTTTGAAAACCTTGAATTCATGATCATCTATGCTGAAAGAAGCAACATCCTATATGGTAGGGATCTCGCGATATAAACATCTCTAGCATCAAAACAGGCCACTTAATGGTTATATTTTTAGAATGACCCCTCCCCATGACAGATCCGCCCCTGCAAAATAAGTCTAATGATTTTAACTGAAAGTGCATTAAATTTTCTCATTTAAAATGTAAAAAAATACGTTGAAGCTTCGCTGAGATATGACAATTTGAATTTGGGGTCGAATTGACCCCAAGGTGCAAACAACGTAAGTTTTTTTTAGGCAGAGGCGAAGGGTTAAGGAAGTTCACTTAGATGTTGAAATTTATTTAACTTTAAAGTAATTGATAGATTCGGCTCATAGTTTACTAAAGATATGCGAAGATTAGGTAAAGCTTAACATTTGAATCAACACTAATCAATTTAACACTTAAATTCCGAAATGTGCACTGAGCATTTCTCACCTCATTTTTACAACACAAAAACAAATACAGTTTACTACTAGCATTAAAATCTACTTTTTTTCATACCTATAACAAGCTTACATTCTATTCTATCTACTGCTTCAAAAAGAACTATGTTCCGTCAACTGTGTGCAAAGTTATTAGCAAATGAGCAGTTCGTGGCCAAAACTGTGTATGCCAAGCATGGTTGTGGCATTTGAAATGTTATTTCGGTGTTTAAAAGATTGTCTTGACAGTGTTCATGATTTTTCTAAAAGCCACATCTGCCATTTTTGCTTTAGGTTCAATATTGGTGGGTCACGAGCCTATGGAATGTATCAAAGTGGGTTGTAATATCCATAAGTGTGAGAACCACTAGTGCGTATAAAAGTACACGAATTGACAGTGGACTGTAATGCTTGATGCTATGGTGGTTCCAGGTGCTTCTATAGAATGTCATTTGATCGAAAGCCACTTGACCGAACACTGGTTAATTTCCAAATCCATTTGACTGAACACTGATTAATTTTGAATAAGAATACCTTCACAGAAAATCAACAAGAAACAGCTCAAGGAACTTCGTAAAACTAAAACTAAACGTAACAGCTAAGCATCGTAAAAGGTCTGGAAATTTCGTAGAAGCTCAAGAAATTCCTCTTGGAAGGATGAAGACAAGTTCATAGCTATTCTAAGATCTTGGTGGCATTAAGAGAGCATTTAAAATAATTATTCTGGAACGTAGAATAAGTTCAGGTAACTTCGTAGGAACTGTGGATATTTTCTAGAAGTTAGTGGCGTATTGTAGATATTCTGGGAATATTGTTTAAGTTGTAGGAAATGCGTTCAAGTTTAGTAAACTTGGTAGAGATTCGGTGAACTTCCTAAAAGTTTAGGAAATTGTAGCGTTTCAGCGTTATATGGAAATATTGAAAGTCTTGAATTTAAAACCCTACCCTCTGTAATGGTAGTTTGGGGGTCAGAAACACCCTGCTAATATTTTAAGTCATTTGGTTCACGAGAACCCATCGTTCAAAGGGCTTGAAGTTTAAATAGGAAAAATTGACAACATGTATGGGAAAACGATCCACTTCCACATTCGCAGCTCTAGGGGGCGCTGTAGTTGGTCGGTTTTCTTCGTGTACAAGTCGGCAAGTTTATCGCGAAGTATTCTAAAGATCTCCAGCTGACCGCCGATTTCATGGAAGTCCTCTGGATATTTCTTAAGACTGCAAGTTGATTAAGCAATATCAAGAAATCTGAATTAGTCTTACGCGTTAATCGCACTAAAACTGTTGGAATGGAATGCAAACTATCATCACTGCACAGTGGTCCAGAATGAGAATTTAACAGGAAAGATGCACTAAGAGCCTGAAGTCTCAATTTCAGCGAAACAAAAGTAACTTCTACCAAGCTATTTCTAATAATTCAGCCTTCATTTTGGTGTCACTTAGCACTCCGTGTTACGGAAAACTTTCAATGTTTGAAAAAATCATAGCTCAGCCATCTATAGACAAATTTTAAATCTATTGTAGACATTTCATTGATTGATTTATCTTTATTAAGGAGGCTTTCAGTCTGAGGCTGGTTCGCCTCCAAAAAGTAGACATTTCAGTTTCAAGACTTTAAAAATGTTTCTGGTATCAAAAGATTTAAAATCTATCGATAAATTTGTGAGCAATGGTTTTTCGAACATTGCCAATTTGCCGTTACACATTTTACCGGAGGTATCGTTTTTAGAGTGTTAGTCCTAGGAAAGTTCTTATTACCAAATACAAAATTTAACTTTCGCAGAAATCAAAATAAACATTATTTGGCAAAGCTGTAGCTCAGCTGATTCCAAGTAACTTTGTTCCAGAAAACTTTTTTGAATATCTTGGTTTGACCGATTTAGAGCAATTAGGGTGTCTCTAATTAAAAACAGTTATTTTGTGCTATTCCATTTATTTCAAATATCTCAGCAAAGGCCATATCCAGATACCTTTTAGAACTTTTTAAGATACAATTGTTGCCATGCAAAACTTGTCGATAGCTATTGCCGATCAAGAGTTATTGATGTGTTTCTTATGCAAATATGCCCCCTATGCCCTCGACATTTACAACAGCCTGAATTGTTCTATAAATATAATATCAAAACATTAGAAATATTTTCCCTCACTCGTATATGTTAGTCTCAGACCACCAAAATGTTCATCAATTTTTCTAAGTGCGTAGAACTCCGCGGTTTTTTCGAAACCACTCATTGACGTCTTATCAGAATGAATTCGGAGTTCACATTCCTGTCGCATCTACGATTTCGTTCTGATAAGACGTTTATGAGTGGTTTTGAAAAAACTGTGGAGAACAAGGATCAGTTTCATGAATTGACCCCTCTTATATATTTTCCGGTTATTTCTGTAGACCATCCCGTGGTTTCCAGAGGCCAAATGCTGATCGCAATTCCGAATTTATTCTGATAAGATGTCTATAAGGGGTTACGAAAAACCACCGAGCTCTAGGATCAGTTTCATGAATTGACCACTTTTGCGGATGTTCCGAATCTCCCGGTGGACTATTACGTGGTGCCCAGGATCCATATTCGGGTCGCAAGTCCGAATTAATTCTGATAATACGTCTATGAGTGGTTTCGAAAAATCCACGGAGCTCTAGAATCAGTTTCGTGAATTGAACACTTTTACAGATAATCCGGGTCTTCCGGAAGACTAGACATGAGACTTCCAGGATGTTAAATTTTCCGTAAAAGTGGCCAACTAGCTTTTTAATGACTGTTCAGAAGACACCAGGAAGTTATCACTTTAAATTACTCTACAATAAGAGTTTGTCCCCATTTAGCTCTAATTCCATACGTGTAGTCGTTAATACCGGTTTCTATGGTACGGTACTTTAGGAATCTTGACTGTATAGATATCTTTGTTGTAACAAAACATCTAATTATACATCAAAAGTTTTTCATAGTCAATGTCATTTTCATGAGAAATTTGAGTTTAAGAGATACAGTAATGACCCGATTTTGTCAGCCCCTCCACGCATCAGGCATACAATTTTCAATAATTCCGCATAATTGTAAATAAATTTTCATAATAAGAAGAGTTCTCAAGATCCCAGTCTTTCAGGAGACCGCCCCGTAACGTGGGTAGATCACCTTTTCATGGTACGATACGGGATGTAAGATCTACCACCGATTCCTAGTCCAGACTACTTCAAACTAGGGGAACAGGATTTTTCAATAATTCAAGGAACAACCATTGATCAACCAATTGGTTAGAAAACGAGCCATCCAACGGAAAGATGACGCAATGAATGGGGAGAAGAGTCCACCCTTTATCCACGAAATGTTAGCAACAGGGAGTTGACACCTTCAATCTTCACTTTTCGACTCCCTACGCTACAGCTTGTATCGCTAAAACTAAGACTCTTGAACGTAGGAGCCTAGTTTGTCATTTTTTTTTGTGTTTCATGTTTTCTTTGTCTACCAATAATGCTAAAAAGAAGCATCATGCATTCTCATTGAAGATTCTTCGTTTGCAATTCATCTGTTGGACGAGACTTCTGTAGAACACATTCAACGCAACAACGCACTGCAATGACTTGTTTTCGTGACTTGACTGTACTGATTTTTCCGCAACACCTCACATGCCGCTCCGATTTCATTCAGAACACATCTCATTCAGGTAAATCACACTCACACACACACAAACACAATTCTCCGCAGAATTTCAATCAACCACCCGGCCATCGATTTCGGCGTATGTACTCTAAATTAATTCTCCAAACACCCTAGTTAAGCAAATGTTTTTTTTTTTTTTTTTTTCATTTGATGTTATCCCGGAAAGCCGTTAAAAACAATTTCCTCAATTTCAATCGATTTGCCGGTTGATTGAATTTGGGCTACATATATTGTTGCTGCTGCTACTACTCTTGATTTTTCTGGTTTTGCTTTAGTTTTTTTTTTTTCTAATCAAACATGAAGTGATGGATGTTGGAAACTTACTGCACTGCCTGGGGACGACATTGTATGCTAAGCACAAGCGTCGATAGAATACACGTCTGAAAGTAAGGAAGAAGAAAAAAAGAAGGGGATTAACATTAATCAATAAAAATGTACCATTGAGTAGCGATTTTGTTTTATTTTCGTGGCATTCCTTGCGCAATGCCAGCACATATTTTAGCAATTGAGATCTGCGGTGCGAGCGGAGTTATATTGCTTCTGTTTGACGTGATTCCAATCGGGATTTCGAGGTCTCCCGTCTGTCAAATGCGCGTCATCTCTCGCTCCCATGCAGTGATTGAATTTTAGCGCACTGACTGATGAATTATTCAGGCTTCTGCGGACAAAGAACTTACCCGAAAATTTCGTCGCACCAGGTGACGACGAACCTCATCTTTTATTGTGACAGCATAGCAATTTATTATTCATTCAAATCGTGATTGCAAAGACGGTTATTGCACGTGGGTACTGAGCGAGCATAGCTGCTCCTCCGACTGATCGAATGCGATTAGCCACAACATTCCGATACTTAATTGAATTGGATCGCCCGGTCTATTCATATTAAAACACCATTTAGTTTGATTGCCAAATTGGTGCCATGGCTTCTTTATGGCTGCTCTTGTAAAACGGCGCGATTAGTTCAACTGTGTCATATCAATAAATGGTGAAGCGTGAGGAGAATTGCTCCAAAATGGCGGCGGCTGGCGAGACGGGTGATCGTTAGGGGGATCCGTAGATTGTTGAGCGGAATCTCAATTGGACAGGTGAACCAGGAACAAGCTGTCTGGGGGGAGAATTGATTTCCAGAATTTGCACGGCATCTGTGGGAAATGGCATTTGGAAATCGTCCTCCAAGGCTTCTGTTCGTTGTTTCTTTTTATGAGGGCTCAGCCCTTTCATAACAGTTTGGTAAAAACCATGATTTGAATAACAATTGAGGGCTCCTCGCAATGCCTAGAGGCAATGAATGAATGGGGTTGGAATTGATAAAATAAACATTTCAACAATTATGCTAATTTGATCAGGCAAATGAAATAATCCTAACGAAACAAACCAACAGAAACCGAAATCGGGCCTGTCATGGTGATTACTCATGGTGACTCCATGAGTAACCAGTATTTCGATCTACATGCGCTCTGCTAATCCAGACTGCACCAAAATGCACAAGGGAATTTTTGGACGCCCATCTAGATTAGAGCAAAATATAGCTGCAAAAAGATCGCATCGAAAATATTCTTCATCCAGAATCAATCAAGCCCGGGAGGGCTAGTGTGACCGTAATATGTCGCGCGACGGGTGTTGGTTTTGTCGAGAATTGTCCACTTCCCCTGGCACCCTGCGCTCTGATCAAAGAGCACCGTTGTGCCAGGTTGGTAGTGCCAATTTCGAGTATGAGACGGTGATTGCAGTTTGCTCAAAAGTCCCTGAGCAAAATGAAAGTACTTTCGATGATTACCCAAGTAACAATTTGAGTTTTATGAGGGTTCTGTAGAACATGATTTAGACTTGTAGAATGCTATTAAACCTCGATAAAACTTGCAATGTTACTTGGGTACCCGTAGTGGCGATAGTGTTCGGGCGTGTTTGTCACACAGTAACTTTTTATTTGATTTTGTGTGGGCGATGGGTTTCGGGTGTGGTCGGGCATATGGGTGATAATATTAAATCTACGTTAGGATAAAGTTGAAACATTGAGAAATGTATCGCTTAAGTTTGAGAAGTATTTCACTTCGGAACCGATGAACCATTATGATGGTCCACATAACCGTGCAGGTTCCTTCAGTTAAACCTGTATTTTTGGGTAGTATCTCTATATATTCTTTGGTGTTTTCTAGCAGATACCCATCCTGAATAAGAAGAAGATGACTATACAGTATGAGTGGTACCATAGAGCCCCTTCTCGGAACGAGTGTATTGTTAACCGTTATGTGATCGACAGGGTACCCGGATACCTTTTCAGATTTCAAGTTATAAAATTATAAAATTATTCTCACGACAGGAAACCACATGGCCAATCATACCAACTCAGCGACTGAGATTAATTGATTCAGAAAATTTTCTTTCGCCAGAAAATTCTCTGAGTCAATTAATCTCAGTCGCTGAGTTGGTATGATTGGTCGTGCAGAATTCAGAGACATCTTAGAATTCATGGAGAGACAACTTTTCATGAAGAAAGATTTCATATTGCAGCAAGGGGCTTCGAAAGCGGGGGTCCTGAATCTTTTTACCATTTAAGAGCTCGACAAGGGTACCATTTCCACAAAATTGAAATGGTTGCTACTGCGGCCAATTTTGACCGATTTTAAATCTTTTGGCACCATTAGATTCAGAAACTTATCCGCTTTCTGTATATTGTCAACAATGTCCATCCGGAATCGTCTGGTTCCCGAACACCTGAATTTCTTGTATAACCATCCAGAACTAAGCATTTTCTTGATAATATCGCTGGAATTCCGAAGGAATCGATATCAAAGTATCAGAATCTACGTCAAGAAATAATTTCTGCTCACTTGAGGACCAGTTTAAGGTTTGTTCTCGAAGCGGCCATTATGGAGCAGATTCCCGTAGGGCCTTTAGTTTGACGTCTCTGTTTGAAGAGCAGTGTTTTTTTAGCCTTCCCGGGTGACGAAGCTACGTAATCGCGGATAAATTGAAATTTCCTTCGAAAAGTTTTCTGAAAATGGACTGCTGGACCGACCCAGAAGACGCAGGCTCATCGCGGAACAAATTTGTTTACAGCGGTGGATATTTTCCGAACGATTATCAAACCAGCAATGCGTTTGATCATTTTTATGGAAACCAACAAAAAAGCATCTAGCATGCTCAGCTGTGGTGACAACCCAAGAGAACAAGTGGAATTTCAAGGAAATTCATGAATTTTGATACCCATATTGTAGGGGTTTCTTCCCAAACACTTCTATGGCCACTAGAGATCCTACACAAACCTTAAAATTGTTCTCAAGTGAGATGAAATTGTTTCTTGATCTATATTCTGATATCTATTCCTTCAAAACTCGAGCGAGAGCATCTGGAAATAAGCGGAATATGCCGAGAAGTTCCGTAAACGTCAGAGCAATTTCAAAAACTTGAAAATTACCAGAAGTTATCCACCTATGGTGAGATCTAACCCGTCTTATATATTTTATTTCTAGTAAAAAAAAGAAGAAAAATAATGTCTAATATGTGGGTCTGCGTCCGGGTTTTCATATGATACATAATGGCTCATGACAGATTTTGGTCAGATAGCGATCGGAACATGTCTTGTTGTGGCGAATGAAACTTCCAGCACTCAAATTGGTCATATTCCTGAATTTTGATGTTATTTAGTTTAAGTCAGATTGTGGCCACTTTCCCGGTGGTCGATGAGGCCCCTGGTACTAGAGAAATCGAAAAACTGGTCAGGATTTAAAACTGTCTATTGAGCTTTGGAAAACTAGCAAGGCTTTTGTATCTAGACAAATGTTCAGGATTCTGGTAAGGTTATGTTCGAGAGATTTTTGAGGACAATTCATAAAAATTTTCAAGGAGAAATTCAAAGGCATCTGATAATTCGTACGAAGACGAACCAGCCCAGGGCTGAAAGTCTCATTAATAAAGATATATAAAAAAGCATTTTGTTAAGTACTTTGGAATGTTAAGTTACCTTAGCATTCTGAATCATATACTTAATAATTCGGAACAGCCCTAGCATTTTAAGGTTATTCTCAAGAGTTAATAGGTAACTGTGAGATGACATCCAAGGTGAATTCCAAGTTTATTCTGAGTAGAGTTCCATCATAACTCAGATGACAATGTCATGGGAATAGTGTTAAGAAAGCAAATAGAATGCTGAAGAGAAATCACAGAAAACTCTTCAGGTGACTTCAAGGAACGTTGATGACAAATTGTAAGAATTGCTGGGGGCATTTGCAAGAAAATCCGAGATGAATTCAATGCGTATGCTGGAGAAAATCCATAAGTTTATCATGAGGATAAATTCAATGGAATTCTGATGACTGTTTCTAATGAAATTTTAAAGAATACTTTCATCTATAAGGCCGAGCTAGTTTTAAAATATGTATCGTATATTTTCTCTCCAAAAAAGTTCAAAGAGAAGTAACTTTTCTGAACGAGCATCGAAATCCCTGAAATGTTGACTGTTGAATTATAAAATATTCAAAGTTGATCGGTATAGTTTTGGGCTTGATTGAGCGAATCTGTCAAAGTTTGAGCATTTTTTGTAAAACGCTTCTCATAAGTGTGCCATTTTTTAAAACGTAGCTATTAATTTGCTCAATTGTTTTCTTAAAAATAATTAACTTTTATATGGCTTCAATTTGACTAAACTAAGTTCAGTTCGAAAAAGATTACAGCAGCTTATATTTTTTTTAATGAAAGAAATGCCGTTTTTGACACAAATGATGCTCTCCTATTGTCATTCTACATTTAATGTGGACTAGAATTTAACACAACAAATGCTTTAGGATTCGATCAGTTTAACAAAAAACTTGCATGGATATTATGAGTGAACAGAAAAATATAAGTGCCACTGTTTATAAAGTGTTTAATCAAATTCTGCGAGAAGAATCTATCAATTTTTGGAAGAATACGTAAGTTACGCAGTTAAATTATTCTTGGATCAATCATGATCATGTATTGTTTTGCCTTGATTTGTTTTCCATCCTTGGACCCTAAATATCGAACCCATCAACTCATGAACCGGAGACCAACAGCTTTACTTCCCTTCTGAAGAAAGCCGTGATCAGAGATGTTATGCCTCAGAACATCCCGGCGGCGCAAACTGGGATTGAACCCATGCCTGCTGGGGTGAGAGGTAATCACGCTTACCACTACACCCCCGGTGCCGCTCATGATCATGATGATAACCGTAGTCTAGGTAAACTGTGTGTGAGTGCCACGAAGTGAGGCTTTGTTTCCCTCTCCAGCCGGATGATTTACTCATAAAAATAAAATTGCCTACTGGTCTACTGGGTGTTGTATACACTGAGACAAAAAAACGTATGAATTTCATAAGAACCACTTTTAAATTTTAGCCCCAAGAAATCGGTATGAACTTGAT